AGCAGGAAACTCTTCTGTCTGCCCCAGGGCTCCTTTTTGAATTGGCTCCCCTGCTCCCTATCTCTGGCTCTATCCAGATGCTCACTGAACAACCAACCAGCTGAGACCGAAGGGCCGTGTGTGCCCAGGGAGAAATTCCAGCGGGCAGGCCAGACCCCAGGGAATGGGGACATGGGGAGGAGTTAGGCAGAGGGCTGTGGCACTGTGGGAATGCCCATCAATGTCACAAGTCAAAGTGTGTGCAAATTGTTGAACCCAAACCCAATTCACTGTTAACTTTCACCCAAGTTTCTCACACTCACACACACAAATAAATAAATACAAATGGGGGGACACCATGAAACAAAGAAGAGCGGGGAGGGGGCAGAGAAGGGAGACGAGGAAGGAGGAGGCAGAGGAGGATGGGTTTGAGAAGGGGCTGGAGTGGATTAAGCTCGGCGCGAGGCTCCAGCCCCCAGCCACTCCCCGGCAGAACGATGAGGCTGTCTGCGACCAATACAAGTGCCATGGGCAGGTCTGCCTCTGGGCAGGGTTCCGTGGTCATTGCCTGGTCTGAGGGGGTCTGCCGAGAAGAGTCCCTGGGTCTTCTTGCCCAGCTCTCCCCCAGCCCCCGGTGGAGATGCCCCATTGTTTGCAGCAAATCAGACTACTCCCTACAGTGGAAACTACACATGCTTCCAGAGAGGGGAATAAGATGGACAGCACGGAGGGATACCCTGGATCCAGCTGTACCTGAAGCTCATAGACAACCTTGTCACGGGACCAAATGCATCTATTATGCTTTAATACAGCAGTTGGGTATCAACATCTCTTTCCTGATCAGGACGGAGTCCTGGTCTGCTCCCTTTCCCCTCTGTAGCTTCTGGGGCCCCAGTCCTTCTCCTTGGCTGTGCTCAACAGCGGCAAGTGCAGAGGAGAGAGGCCAGTTTCCCTGTCTACCACTGAAGACAAGCGGGTATTTGCTTTTGGTCAGCACCACCAAATGAGCTACAGCCAGGTCTGCGTGGACTCAGAGCACCTCCACGTGCTTGGGGGGGGGGTTGGGAGCTACAGCTTTTGGTTAGCAGCTGCACACATCAGCCCACCCACTCAGAAAAGTGTCTCGGTGAACTAATCATGTCGCACCCCAGCTGTGCGGGAGTGCTTTTATTGTCAAGGAGCCCTGGGTCCACAGTTCAAAACCAGCGGTTGTCAGTCCTCCGGAGAAAGACGGGGGCTGTCAACTCCTGTCAGTTCACAGGGGCAGTTCCACTGCGTCCTGTAGGGTTGCTTTGAGACAGAGGCGACCCGGTGGCAGGAGTTGGGTTTGGTTTCATTCAACCAGTCTGTCCAGGTCTCCATCCCTTCCCAGACGGACACCTGGAAGACACCACTTCCCAATACCTTTCAGCTGGGTGGAACCACATGACTAGCTCTGGCCAATGGCTGATGAGCATCAGTGACATGTGACTTCCCGGGCTCCAGCAGAGAAAATTCAGAGTGTAATTTTCCTCCTTTTCCATCGTTGGCCTCAATTGGGGCAGACAACCATGAGAGCTAAATGATTTGGGGTGCCACGCTGCCAGATGGAGGCCACCCGCCCTGGAGGGGCACCCAGGCCGAGGAGACGGCATGTAGGTGAGCAGAAATGTGCATGTGTTGTCTGAAGCCAGTGAGATGTGGGGGTCTTTCCTCAGGGCAGCACAGCCTAGCTCTGGCGGACTGATAGACGCCAGCTCCCCGTGAACCATGCCAGCTCTGGGCGGGGAGTTAGGAGTTGCTGTCCTGTGTGCCCACCGGTTTTCTGACAACCGTGTGGTGGCTATTGACGTGGCTCTGACTCATGGCAACTCCGCAGCGGGATGGACCACCACCTGGTTCTGCGCCAGCCGAGGCGCAGTTGTTGGTACTTTAGACTTTGCATGCCGGTCAACCAAGGGTCTCATAGTGCAAGGAGGTCGTAGACAATGCTGGTGTGACCTACGAAGCTCTTGCCTGGTGTCCTGGTGGCGTAGTGGTTATGAGTTGGGCTGCTAACTGCAAGGTCAGCAGTTCGACCCCACCAGTAGCTCCACAGGAGAAAGGGAAGCTTTCTATTCTCCTCGAAACTGGAAAGTCTCAGAAGCCCTCAGGGGGCAGTTCTACCCTGCCCTGTAGGGTTGCTATGAGCCAGAACCAACTCATTAGCAACAGCGGGTTTTTGTTTTTTGAGCTTAAGGGAAAGGTCAACTTTTCAAACCCAACAGCCTCTCTGAGGGAGAAAGAGGAGGCTACGGCTGCAGTAAAGACGGGGTTGCTTGGAAGCTGAGGCCACACAGTGGGAACTTTTGGGGGATGACCGGGCCTCAGTCTGAAACCTGTTCCATGGGTGACCCTGCTGGTGTTTGAAATACTGGTGACATAGCTTCCAGCTGCTCAGCAACACACAATTCATGACAGGAAGACACATTGACAGATAGGTGGGCAGTGGCCTGGCCCAGGTAAGCACTCATGTTGTTATTGAACAGAGCACACACACTCACGCCGGGTAAGGTTTTGCAAACCACATCACCTCTTCTGGCATTAGTTCCCTATGCAAATGCATTTTTTTTTGCAAATGCATTTTATTGATGTGTGTGTGCGCGCGCGCTATATCTGGGAAGGTGAGTCTGGGATGCCGTCCACCATGTGCAGCGCAGGTGAGGAGGAAGGCCAGACTTTCAGAGGGAACCTGGTGAGTGAGCAGGTCTTCCCAGCAGGAGTGGCTGGAGAAGGTTCTGGAATGACTCCCTGTAGCCACAGAATTAGGGCCTGAGGTGGGTGTGAGTGTGTGTGTGTGTACTGCTGGGAGAGATCTCTTATTCATCTCTAGGGCTGCAGACAGACAGAACCAGACAGGAAGGGAAAGTGCAGAGAAGGGGGGAGTGGGGGGAGCTGTCAAGCTTGATCTTGGTGGGCTTGCTCTTGACTTTAAAATGCTGACTCTCGGGAAATGGATTGCAGAGGGGGTGGGGTGGAGGCAGGGAGGAAAGGAGAAGGGGTGCTCTCAAAGCCAAAGCCAGAGCCATGGGAAATGTTTTTATTTTCTGCTTGAAAGAAAATACCAAAGAAGGATTTAAAAACAGGGAGGGAGGTGTGAGAGTGCATGTTCCCTGGAGCCATTGGGAGTCCGGTGAGTGACGCTCCCAAGGAGATCTGGGGAGAAGGGCCAGCTCCCGGCCCCCAGATGCTCCCACCAGCAGGGGCAGGGACTGGGCAGCCCCTGTGCCCAAACGAGGTGGGAGAGAGCTGGGCTGAACCCTGCTCTGGCTTGGTGGCTGCTACCAGGCTGGGTGACCTTGGGAAGGTCACTACCACTTTGGGGTCTCTGAGGGGAGCACAGCAGTGCAAGGAGGAAGGAGAGGGAGAGAGTGTGTGGCGTGTGTCAGGAACCCAAAGGTACTGGGAAACCAGTGGACTCTCCAGGTATTTCCTGGGTGTGAAGCGGTGCCAGGCTCCGTGGTATCAAAGGCTCTCTGGATTCCTGCCCACTGCTCTGACTGCCGCCCTCACCCCCTCCGCTGCTGCTGCTTCCCACCCATTCCGAGGGCAACACCCCAGGACTCTTGCTGAACTCTTGTGGGCTGGGCGCTGTCTTGGGTGGGCTGATGGGGAAGGGCAGAAAACGGGGGTGCAGCTGTGGGGCTCCCGCCAGGTGGGTGGATGGAGAGAACTGACTCTTCAGCTGTGTGAGCCTGGCTGCCTCCCCTCTCCCCTCTGTGAACTGGGTGTGACAGGGTCTGCAGAGCCTGCCCCAGCCTGGGGGGGGAACGGGGGAGTGCTAAAGGCATTTGCAGACTGAAAAACTGGGAGGGTTCCCTAAGGGAGGCGGGAGGGGTAGCCGCCTTTTGGAGGCCACCTGGTGGTAGAATTTGGGGGCAGGAAGGAGGGCACAGGAATGTGTCCCAAACCTGAGCAAGCGGGCCCAGGCCTGCCCGGGCAGGGTGCTGAATGAGGGAGGCCCGATGAAAAGCCTCCGGACAGAGGAGGGCTCCTCTGAAAGTCCAGGCAGCACCCCTCGGGGCCCCACAGAGGTGGGGCACTTCTACCCACCCTGCACGTGTATACATGCAGCAAAACCCTCCATTAGTCACCCTCAAGGTGACACCATGAACCCCACTCAACACACTCCCACTCAACACCCAGGGACACCTAGCACCATCCCCGAGCCTAGACCCGGCCACCTTCCCCAAATACAACCTCCGAAAAGCGACCAGTCTCCCACAATCATTGATCTCCACAATCTGGCCCAGGGACCCCACATTTAATCAGTCTCCCACACCCCAACTCCCTAACTCCTGCCCTTTTAGGTGCCAGAGGACCCCAGTAAATATCCACCAAACACCGTTAGCGACTCCTTCTTTCTCCCACCCCTCTCCGGATAGGGCGACATAAGGCCCCCCACTCCCACTCTTGCCCTTGAGCGGGCTTGGCAGGAAAGCGGGGCCCCCCCAAGGTCACCGGATCGCCACAGGCGTCCTCGAGCCGTTTTATCGGCGGTTTGTTCGGCGGAACATGAGGCGCTCA